GGTTGTTGCTACCGCCCAGGAGTGATGGGAGTTTGAGCGCAGGACTTGTTTTTTCGTGTTAATATTGTTACATATTTAGGTTTTACAGTGGGGTGGGTGTGCTCCTGACATGCTGCGACCTTCAAAGTGTATCATCCTCTATCTGCACCTATCACAGTAGCACTATGCATGGTTACAATAATTACACATAAAACAAGTATAAACTCAGGACTAAAAAAAGGGAGGAGGAGGATACTGGAGACCATGCCTTTGTGTGCATTGTCAGTAACACAATCCACATCACTGCTGATGATTGTGGCTGTGAGCAGGATGACAAAGTCCATGTGTGTTTACAGAGCCGTCCTAAGGGGTGTGCATGTGGCTGTATGTGACAGTATATGTGTGTAACTATGTGCACCTGATTGTGTTGTTTTAGACCAAACCAAGTGTTTGCTTGAATATCTGCCCCTGTCCAAATGTCTTAAATGTAATAAAGTGTGCACGCCGGAGAAATCCCAATGACACAGAAAAGTTCAGTTGAATGAAAACTTCCAAGTGTATTGTCAGGGGGCGGTGTAGCCCCTTAAAAGGGCAAAGAATGCAACGTATGCAAATAGAGAAAGTAAACTTTTCAATTGGTTACGTGTTTTAGTAAAGTAAACATTTATTTGGTTAGGTGTTAAGTGTCTAATCTTTATGGACCTCCTCCAGAGGGTGTTGATGTCATCGTCATCTTAGGTGTAACTCCGTAAGGAGAAGCCATCTTACTACACGAGGGTCTTGGGAGGGGGTGCTCTAGCACCATTTTGAGTAATAAATGAACACAGGTATACAAAGTAAATACACATTTTACACACATTCATTTCTATCCATCACAGTGTCTCTCACTGTGGGACACCTGAAAAAATACGCACCTACAAAAATGCACACCTAAATTCACACATGGGCCTACATGCATGTTTTTAAATCGAATTAAACAAATATCACATCCATTACATACATATATCACACACAGTCAATACAGCCATAACAAATACCACACACTGAGGCGGAGGCACAGACCAGATTCCCAGCACACTTGATCAGCATAGATTAGCACGTCCCTTGGGAGTGTGGCAACTTTATAATGTAGCAGCAGCAGCCAGACCTTGCTGGAAGACATTAATCAAACCTTATGGAATCTGTTTACTTACTCAATCAAGTGCCAGATCTCTCCAGCTGTAGAATTTTGATTCAATTCATTAAACAAACCAGGAACCAAGTGTGAAATGCAACAGTCTAGTTTAGCTACTGCAGACAGGCCAAGATTCAAATTCTAGCGAATTCACAGTCATCCTTAAAATTTGAGATTTGGATCTTTCTGACTTTAGTAGAAGTTGGGCGAGGGAAGGCCAACCCAAGATGTGTCAATAAAACAAAATACCTTACTGACCTTGCCTCTTGTAACATGCCTCATTATGTCCCTCCCGTAGCAGATAGTACAATAAGTATATTATTATTAAATTGGTCAGGGCCATCTTTAATGCTGATTGGACCCTGGGCAAGCATTTGCTTGGGCCCCCTGGTCCCCTCCCTCCCACATTGTGGCATGCAAACACGCCTTCCACTCAAAGACACACATAAAGAAAACACACAAAACACACACACACACATAGTACATAGACTTAGCCACACTTGTTTTTCACCTAGAGAAAATATACACACTGACACACATACAAATGCAAACACTGACACAAATACAGATACACACATACACAAACTCAGATATGCACAGGTACAGACAAACAGATACACAGACATACAAAGACACATACACAGACAAACAGGTGCATACACAGATACACACTGGCACACATACAGACACAAAGAAACACTCACTGACAAACATGCAGACACACGCTAGCACACATACAAATAAACAGACACACACCCTGACATATATGCAGATATACACAATAACACACATACAGCTACATACACAGACACAAATGCAGTAACACAGACACACACTAACACATACAGATGCACAGACACACACACTGACACACATACAGATACACAGACACACACAGATACACAGGGGCACACACTGACCCACATGCAGATACACAGGCAAATGCACATACATTTACACATATAGACAGATACACACACAGAAACACATACAGACAGAAACATAGAATGTGACGGCAGATAAGAACCATTCGGCCCATCTAGTCTGCCCAATTTTCTAAATACTTTCATTACTCCCTAGTCTTATCTTATAGTTAGGATAGCCTTATGCCTATCCCACGCATGCTTAAACTCCTTTACTGTGTTAACCTCTACCACTTCAGTTGGAAGGCTATTCCATGCATCCACTACCCTCTCAGTAAAGTAATACTTCCTGATATTATTTTTAAACCTTTGTCCCTCTAATTTAAGACTTTGTCCTCTTGTTGTGGTAGTTTTTCTTCTTTTAAATATAGTCTCCTCCTTTACTGTGTTGATTCCTTTATATATTTAAATGTTTCTATCATATCCCCCCTGTCTCGTCTTTCCTCCAAGCTATACATGTTAAGATCCTTTAACCTTTCCTGGTAAGTTTTATCCCGCAATCCATGAACCAGTTTAGTAGCCCTTCTCTGAACCCTCTCTAAGGTATCAATATCCTTCTGAAGATACTGTCTCCAGTACTGTGTACAATACTCCAAGTGAGGTCTTACCAGTGTTCTGTACAATGGCATGAGCACTTCCCTTTTTCTACTGCTAATACCTCTCCCTATACAACCAAGCATTCTGCTAGCATTTCCTGCTGCTCTATTACATTGTCTTCCTACCTTTAAGTCATCAGAAATAATCACCCCTAAATCCCTTTCCTCAATTGTTGAGGTTAGAACTCTATCAAATATTCTGTACTCTGCCCTTGGGTTTTTACGTCCAAGATGCATTATCTTGCACTTATTCACATTAAATGTCAGTTGCCACAATTCTGACCATTTTTCTAGTTTACCTAAATCATTTGTCATTTGGCTTATCCCTCCTGGAACATCAACCCTGTTACATATATTAGTATCATCAGCAAAAAGACATACCTTACCATCAAGACCTTCTGCAATATCACTAATAAAAATATTAAAGAGAATGGGTCCAAGTACAGATCCCTGAGGTACCCCACTGGTGACAAGTCCAAGCTTTGAATATATTCCATTAATTACAACCCTCTGTTGCCTGTCACTCAGCCACTGCCTTACCCATTCAACAATATTGGAATCCAAACTTAAAGATTGCAGTTTTTTGATAAGCCTTCTATGTGCAACAGTGTCAAAAGCCTTACTGAAATCTAGGTAAGCAATGTCTACTGCACCACCCTGATCTATAATTTTAGTTACCCAATCAAAAAAATCAATAAGATTAGTTTGGCATGATCACCCTGAAGTAAACCCATGTTGTCTCTGATCTTGAAATTCATGTGTTTTTAGATGTTCAACAATCCTATCCTTTAACATGGTTTCCATCACTTTCCCCACTACTGAAGTAAGGCTTACTGGCCTATAGTTGCCCGACTCCTCCCTATTACCTTTCTTGAAAATGGGCACAACATTCGCTAACTTCCAATCTTCTGGGACTACTCCTGTTAACAATGATTGGTTAAATAATTCTGTTAGTGGTTTTGTTAGTATACCACTAAGCTCTTTTAATAGCTTTGGGTGTATTCCATCAGGTCCCATTGACTTATTTGTCTTTACTCTTGACAGTTGAAATAGAACCTCTTCCTCTGTAAACTCACGTGTAATAAATGACTCGTTTATCCTTTTTCTCAACTGAGGTCCCTTTCCTTTATTTTCATCTGTAAATACAGAACAAAAATATTCATTGAGGCAGTCAGCTAGACCTTTATCCTCTTCTACATACCTTCCTTCTTTTGTTTTTAATCTAACTAATCCTTGTTTTACTTTTCTTTTCTCATTTATGTATCTAAAAAACATTTTATCCCCCTTTTTTACTGACTGTGCTATTTTCTCTTCTGTGTGTGATTTGAAGCTCTTATAACTTGCTTAGCCTCTTTGTGCCTAATCTTATAGATCATTTTGTCTTCCTCACTCTGGTTTTTTTTATAATTCCTAAATGCTAACTTTTTGTTTTTAACTATTTTGGCCACATCTGTGGAGTACCACAGTGGTTTCTTGAATTTTTTGCTTTTACTGACAAGCCTAATGCAATTTTCTGTTGCCTTCAATAGTGTAACTTTTAAATAATCCCATTACTCTTGGACTCCATTTAAATTGCTCCAGTCTGATAATGACTCATCTACCCATATTCTAATTTTAGAAAAGTCTGTTTTTCTAAAGTCTAAAACTTTTGTTTTTGTGTGGTATGACTCAGTCACTGTTCTTATATTAAACCACACTGACTGATGATCACTGGATCCTAAACTTTCACCTACAGTAATACCTGATACCAAATCTCCATTTGTTAACACTAAATCTAGTATGGCCTCTTTACGAGTTGGCTCCTCAACAACTTGTTTTAGAGACAATCCCAGTAGGGAGTTTAGAATATGTGTGCTCCTGGCACAAGTAGCTAATTTTGTTTTCCAATTTACATCAGGAAGATTAAAGTCACCCATGATGATAACTTCCCCCTTCAATGTCATTTTAGCTATTTCCTCAACTAGTAGATTATCTAACTCTTCAATTTGTCCTGGGGGCCTATAAATCACACCTACACGAGTTACTGTGTGATTACCAAATTCTAACGTAGCCCAAACGGACTCTATGTTTGCCTCACTAACTTTTATTAGGCTAGATTTTATGCTATCCTTCACATACAAGGCCACCCCTCCCCTTTCTTGCCTTCCCTATCTTTCCTATATAAAGAGTACCCTGGTATTGCTATGTCCCAGTCATTTTTCTCATTGTACCATGTCTCAGTAACAGCGACTAAATCTACACTATCAGTTGCCATTATTGCCACAAGTTCATGGATCTTTCACCAGATAATTTACAAATCTCAGACTTCAAAAATACAATCTCCTGCCGCAAGATAGAGATCTGTCTACAGATTAGACAACAACCAAACCTCCAAAAAGTGGAACGTGAAACAAATGCATAGCAATTGTTACACTGAACTAAGTCTGCCATTCCAATTAGGAGAATAATTTAAATCTAACAAATCTTAACTTTGTATTTATCCTCCTGAATACCTCAGATTACCTCAAACTACACACTTAGAAACATCACTTAGAAGTAGCACCAAGCTGTATTAGACAAGCTAATGACAACAAGCCTTATATAACTCCTAAAATCACCACCCACTAGGAATGTTTAACACCTGGGTAGGCCTCTGCTTATTTGCAAACAATAGCTAATTAACCAGCAATCAATAGCAAGTAACTAAATCAAATCAAATGCCTTATAATTACCAACAGGAATTCAAACCTTGTGCAATCAGTAACCTTTTCCTACAGATGAATCTTACCTGTAACAGTAGAAAAGAAAGCTCTTAGCACAACTCTTAGACAGTTGAAGCTTCTGTAAAACTCTCCAGAATATCTCCAACTACACACTTAGAAACAGCACTTAGAAGTAGCACCAAGCTATATTAGACAAGCTAATGACAACAAGCCTTATATAACTCCTAAAATCACCAACCACTAGGAATGTTTAACACCTGGGTAGGCCTCTGCTTATTTGCAAACAATAGCTAATTAACCAGCAATCAATAGCAAGTAACTAGCTTAATCAAATCAAATGCCTTATAATTACCAACAGGAATTCAAACCTTGTGCAATCAGTAACCTTTTCCTACAGATGAATCTTACCTGTAACAGTAGAAAAGAAAGCTCTTAGCACAACTCTTAGACAGTTGAAGCTTCTGTAAAACTCTCCACAATATCTCCAACTACACAGATAGACAGATACCCAGATACCCATTGTACAGTGCTATGGAATATGATGGTGCTATATAAATAATAAAATAATAATAATACACATACAGACAGAGAGAGAGAGACACATACAGACACACAGATACACATATAAACAGAGAAACACACAGAAACACACATACATACAGACAGATACACACATACAGACACACAGATACACATACAGACAGATACACATATAGGCAGATACACAGACACACATGCATATACACATACAGCCAGATACACACAGAGATACACAGACACACATGCAAATACACATACAGACAGATACACACATATAAACACACATACACATACAGACAGGTATACACACACAAACAGACACTCATGGAAAATATAAATTTTTAGTCACCCTCCTTTTGGCTGCAGAAAGGTGACTTCCCTGGGGTCCAGTGGCTGGCTGAGGCTGTTGGGAGTCGGGCTCTCTACCAGTCCACGCTCCCCCCACCTTTCTCCCTTCCATGCGGCACTCTCTGTGTTAGCTGGAAAGGAAGTGACTGCACGTCCTCCAAGTGCTGTCCTCATCACCGGAGGCCCGTTACGCTGTTAAAGCGCTGCAGCGCTGACCGGGCTCCTGCAGACTCATTGCCATCAGGTGAAACTAAGAGCATGGGCCACCCAATGGGCCCCCTCTACATGTGGCCTGCCGTAGTAAGGGGCAGTCTATTCATATGATTTTTAATATTATGTTTACTTAACCTCTACATTTAGCAAATATGTTTAATTGAGGTCTGAAAAATAAAATTAGATGTAGAAATCCACACCTCTGCCTTTATTGGCATCCTAGTACTAGATGCCTCCATTTTTATTCCCTGTCAATCATTGATATAAATGCTGCTTTATTCTGCCATTAAACATGGTTAGTGAAAGAGGAGAAATTGTACCAATCCTTGCATTTTCCTCCTCATTTCCATTGTCTACCCTGGCTGTACCCCGACAGAACCGAATTGTGATGTCACCTGCCACATCTTCAATTTACATTTGAAAAGAATACAGATCCTCACATGGAAATGGTTAAACAATTTAAAAGTTATATTCATTGTTTCATTCAGTTATGCCATTACCAGAAAGGTGACAATTCCCCTTAAAACCATTCTGTCAGTTTCAGGGAAAAGTGACTGGGATATTCACGAAAGTAAACATTTTTGGAATTCAAAGTGAATTTCAAAATTTAGCACAAAAGAACCAAATTAGAAAAAAATTCCAAGCTAATTCTGTTTTGAGTTTGATTATTTTGCCCTTAAATTTGAAATTCACTTTACACAAATCTGCTTATTTAAGCCTCTATACATATCGTTACATAGTTACATAGTTACGTAATTACATAGCCGAAAAGAGACTTGCGTCCATCAAGTTCAGGCTTCCTCACATATGTTTTTGCTGTTGATCCAAAAGAAGGCAAAAAACCTAGTCTGTAGCGCTTCCAATTTTGCAACAAACAAGGCAAAAATTCCTTCTTGACCCCAAAATAGCAGTCAGATGTCTCCTTGGATAAAGCAGCTATTACCCCACTAATTAGAAACTATATCCCTGTATGTTATGTTTTTGCAAGTATTTATCCTAATTCAGTTTAGGCAGAGAATTACAAATCCTTATTACTCTTACTGTAAAAAAAACCTTTTCTTTGCCTTAGATGAAATCTCCTTTCTTCCAGCCTAAATGTGTGACCGTGTGTCCTATGTATAGGCCTGTTTATGAATAGATTTTTAGATAATGGTTTGTACTGGCCCTGAATATATTTGTATAATGTTATCATATCCCCTCTGAGTTGTCGATTTCCAAACTAAAGAGATTTCAATTTTTTAACCTTTTTTATTTTTTTAATACATGCTCTCCATTTTATTCAAGAGTAAACATAGTCTGATCCTGGCTAAGAGAAAATAGCTAGTAACTAGTCCTTCCTCACATTTAGCTAAATTGTGGTCATATAATATAAATATAATGTCTGTTTCAGTATGTGTGTCTGTTAGTATGTATCTCTGCATGTGTGTGTGTGTGTGTGTGTGTGTGTATCTGTGTTCTTTTGTATCAGTGTGTGTGTTTGAGTCTGTGTGTGTTTGTGTCTGTGTGTGTATTCCTGTGGGTGGGATTTGGAGGTGGACCCTGTGGGCGGAATTGGAGGCGGGCCCCAGGGGGCCCAGACCCTGAGCTGAGTTAGGGGCCCCAAAATTTCTGGTGGCGGCCCTGCTGGTCAGTATGCCTTGAGGACTGTTATGGAAACCACTGCCTTAGATGCATGCCCCTTATGAAGAAGGATTGTTGAAAAAAGAAAACGTGGCAAACGTGTGATAACATCTCTGTATAGTATACAGTAGTTTAGATTACAATAAAGAAGTCATGTAAATATATATAAAATCGTTTTTGTACAGGGTTATTGACTAAAATGCGAATCTTTGGAAATTCAAAGCGAATTTTAAATTTAAGTAAAAAGGATCTAAACTGGAAAGATTCTCCAAATCAGCTGTGCTTCCAGTTCCGCTACTTTTGGCTTGAAATTTTAATTTCACTTTCAATTCACTATAAATTGCCAACAATTCTCATTTTGGTAAAAAAAATAAAAAAAAATTTGAAAAATGATTTGTTATTAGTGTTTAGAACATAGTAACATCATTCCTTGTGTTACAAATGGGCCAACCACATTTTATTTGTTAAGGCCCTTTAAAACCTTGGCGTTTAACACTGACCTTTTTCAACAAAACATTTTTCTTAAAAAGGAGGAATTTGTGTTTGTGGGCCACTGACAAATATGAAGCCCATGGAGCAACACAGGAGGGGAGTGGGCCTTGACAGGGCCAGAGAGTTGGCAGGTGAAGTTAAGGTCAAGGGGTGTGGAAAAGTAATGGCTGGACAGGGGGGGGAGGAGAATAAGGGTTCAAATAACAGCCAATTTGGTGAGCTGGCCTTTTTAATCAAAATCACACTTACTTGATACTTGTCAGGTTTGTGTGGTCTGTTCTTTTTCTTACAGGGATGGCTTCTGCCGAAGAAATCTTGGCTGGTGTGAGAAGAATGGTGGAAGAGAAGGGGATGGCGTGGCTGCAGGATCAACTGGGGGTCCCGAGCACGTCTGCTCCCCCCACTGCGGTGTCGGAGAGGAGGCCGACCAGGAGGGCAAGTCCGCCCCAACGACTCAGCCCGGGAGCACCGCCAGCGGCGAGGAGGAGTCCAGCGCCGCAAAGTGGGGAAAAGGCGGCCCAGGCGGAAGGACGGGCGTCAAGAGTCGGAGTGCGCCGGGCGGGCGCTAGTCGGAAGCCCGCCGGTGGGAGAAGGCCCCGCCGCAAGTATGCGGGCGGGAGGCAGAAGGACACGGCTGGATCCTGTACAGCTGGGATGGCAGCCAGGCAGCAGGGCCGTGATGGTCCGGAACTTCAGCGCCCCGGTGAGTCCGCCCCTAGTGGCGATACTGAGGGGCAGGAGGATGGGGTGCTTGAGGACAGCTCGACGCCAGCGCCCCCTCAGGTGACAGGTGGAGAGGCAGATGGCAGGTCAGGGACGGGCTTAACCCTCACAGGGAATAGGTCCAGGACAGGTAGCGGTGACAGGGGCAGCAGCGTCTCCGGGCAGACGGGAATTGCGAGGGGGGGTGAATCCCTGCCCTCAGGAAGTTGCCGGGATGAGAGGAGAGGAGACGGCAGGTCAGCGACAGGAGGTTGCAGGGACATGGAGGAGCCGCAGGGGCTGAGGAGGAAGGAGACATGCAGAGGGGTCAGAGGCGAGCGGGAGCCCCCTATGGGCCGCTCTCAGGCGCAGCAGGACAGGAGCTGGGCCAGGAGGCGAGGAGTGAGTAGCGAGCGGCGCAGTGAAGGGGACAGGAGCAGCACCCAGAGGAGGTCAGCAGAGCAGGGGAGGAGCAGGGACAGGAGCCAGTCCAGGAGCCACCGGAGCAGGCAGAGGTCATGCACCAGGGAACGGAGGCTAAGATGTAGGCGCAGTGCTTCCAGTTCATCGGGCGGGAGTTTAAAGGACCAGCAGAGGAGGTCTTACGGCCGGGACGGTCAGGCAGCGAGACAGCGTAGCGATAGTGACAGGAGGAAGGAACGCCGGGAGGAAAGGCGGGTAGGACAACACGTGGACAGACTACCCAGGTTATATTTTCCCGGCAGGTCGAGGAGCGTGACACCTACGGTCCCGAGGAGAGGCCAGGCGGAAAGGAGTCGGCGGCAACAGGAGTCTCCGGAGCCTGAAATGGCGGACGGAAGGACAGCAACCCTGCGGCCGGCCACGGTCGGGGGCACTGGCGGTGAGTCACGAAGTACACCACACACTGGGTCCTTATTGGGTTGCTTAAAATCTTTCATTAACTCCTGGGCGGGAGATGAGGGGTCAACCCCGCAGTTTGGTAGGGTATGGTCGCCAGAGGACGGGGGAGATAAAGAACAAGGGGCGGAGAGGATGGTGACACACAAGTCGGGTGCCGTCGAAACGGGGGACGGTGAGTCGGGAACCGGAAAGGCAGTCGGGTCTGGCCAACAGGTGGTCGGGGGTGGTGAGATAGCGGACGTGGCACGGCAAAACGTGCATGTGTCCTTCGCGGGACCACTAGGATGTCACCTGAAAGCGGAGGTAAAAGAAAAAATTGGGAAGGGGGAATTCATGGAAATCTTCTCCTTACTTCCACTCGAGGAATTTCTCGACTTGAAGGAAGAGGATAAGAAGGACGCTAAAAAAGAAGAGGAGAAAAAGCGGCGGTATCGGAAGATACCCAAGACTTTTGGGAATTGGCTCAGAGCCTTCTGTATTTTGGCGAGCGTAGTCGGGGAAAAGCACCCAGAACGATGTTCGCAGCTGTTTTGTTATTTGGACGGGATAGGGGACGCTTACAGGACTTATGGGGGATTAGCATGGTGGCGGTACGACGAACAATTCCGCCAACGGTTGGCAGCGAATCCGAGTATGAGGTGGGATCAGATGGACCTGCCTTTATGGATGAGAATAATGATGGCCCAGAAAAATGCGCCCTTTCAAGGGACGGCCGGTACGGCCACGGGAAGCGCTGTACCGGCCGGACAGAAGAAGGGGTTCTGTTGGCTGTTCAATGAAGGGCAGTGCAAATGGGGGGCATCGTGTAGATTTAAACATGAATGTTCCGGATGCGGGGGAAATCATGGAGTCAACAGGTGTTTTAAGAAAGGAAAATCTAACTTCGGGGGTGCAGCAGGGACAACAGCCACGGCAGTGGCGACTGGGAACGTCGCCGGTGAAGGTCGGCGCGATGCTGCCGTGGTTAAGGCAGTACGGTAATCAGGAAGAGGCGAGGTTCTTATGGCGGGGGTTTACAGAGGGTTTTGTTATCCCATTCAAGGTCAAAGGTCCGGGAACCATGTGTGCAAACCTTAAATCAGTCCGGGACCACCCGGGGGTAGTGCGGGAAAAATTAATGAAGGAAGTCCAGATGGGGAGGATGGCGGGGCCGTTTCCGTCCCCGCCGATAGAAGATTTAAGGGTGTCTCCGCTGGGGGTGGTCCCTAAAAAGGAGGAAGGGAAATTTCGCCTGATACATCACTTATCGCACCCACGGGGGTCATCGGTAAATGATGATATCGACGCGGCGCTGTGTTCCGTATCCTATGCATCATTCGATCATGCGGTCGAGTTGGTTCGGAGAGCGGGACACGGTGCACTGATGGCAAAGGTGGACGTGGAAGCAGCATTTCGGCTGCTCCCCATTCATCCAGGTTGTCACCACCTTTTGGGGTGCTTCTTCGAAGGGGGTTTCTTCATAGACCTGTGTTTACCGATGGGCTGTTCCATCTCGTGTTCCTATTTTGAAAAGTTTAGCACCTTTTTGGAATGGGTGGTACGACGGGAGTCGGGTGGGGGATCAATCGTGCATTACCTCGATTTCTTGTGTGTAGGGCCGGAAGGATCTGAGCGGTGTGGCCAGATATTGAGGGTGTTTCAATGGATAGCACACTCTTTTGGGGTTCCTTTGGCAGGGGATAAGACGGTTGGCCCCACCTCATGCCTTAGTTTCTTTGGCCTGGAGATTGACTCTGTAAAAGGTGAATGCAGACTGCCCGCGGACAAGCTACTTAAGCTTTGTCAGCTAGTGGACACAGCGTGGCATGCGAGAAAAGTGACTTTGCGAGGGCTGCAGTCGCTATTGGGGAGTCTTAATTTTGCATGCAGGGTGATTCCGATGGGCAGAGTTTTTTGTCGACGGCTGGCCCAGGCGACGAGCGGTGTGCGGTTGCCGAATCATTACGTGAAAGTTTCGGCGGATATGAGAGCGGACCTGGGGGTTTGGAAAAGGTTTCTAAGGGAATTTAACGGTATAGTGTTTTTTCGGGAGCCGGGAGTTTCCTCCAAGGACATAGGCTTGTTTACAGACGCCTCCGGGAGCGTGGGGTTTGGGGCTTATTTAGCGGGGCAATGGTGCGCCGAGGAGTGGCCGGCGGAGTGGAAGACGAGCTCGCTGATAAGGAACCTCGCGTTCCTAGAATTTTTCCCGGTGGTAGTAGCGGTGGCGTTATGGGGAAAGCAGCTCGCAAACAAAAAAGTAGTATTTTACTCAGATAACATGGCAGTGGTCCAGGCTATCAATGGGTTGTCGGCATCATCTCCTGCAGTGATACGGTTATTAAGGCACCTGGTACTTTTATGTATGTCTAGCAATAGTGTTCAGGGCAAGGCATGTTCCAGGTTTCTTGAATATAGTGGCTGATGCGCTTTCTCGTTCACAGTGGGAACGTTTTCGGGAAGCAGCGCCGGAGGCACAAGAGGAAGGATTGGCATGTCCGGCAGAAATGTAGCAGCTCGGGACATCATGCTTGGGGAGTTCATAAAGAATTCCCTGGCACCGGGCACCTGGGCGGCATATGTGAAGGTTTGGCACGAATGGGAAGAGTCGGTGGCACAAGTGGGAGGGGACTGTTCAGAGGAACATCGGTTAGATATACTGTTATGGGTACTGTGTCGACTATTTGCCAGGAAGGCTTCACCAGCTATGGTTGACAGGCACATGTCGGCGTTGGCCTTCCTATTTAAGTTTAATGGATGGGAGGATATAACGAAACATTTCTTGGTCAGGCAAGCCATAAGAGGTTTTCGGAGGGGTAAGAAATCGGTGGATACGAGGAGGCCAGTGTCATTCGCGGTGCTGCAAGGACTAGTGGAGGTTCTACCGGCATTATGTTATTCCAAATATGAAGTTGTGTTGTTTTCCGGGGCGTTTGTCTGGGCATTCCGTATTGGGGAGCTGCTTAGCACCAACAAAGCAGGGGTTGGTGGGATTCGGTTGGGGGATGTGACCATTGGTGAAGATAAGGTACAGGTCAAGTTGTGCCGCTCAAAGACGGACATATTCGGCAAAGGAAGCTTGGTAACATTGTTCAAATTGCCAGGGTCTAGGGTTTGCCCAGTGGCTTGTGGCGCCGAATTCTTGGAAGTCCGCCCCGAGAAGGAAGGCTGTTTCTTCATCCATGCTGACGGTAAGGCTTTGTCCCGTTTTCAGTTCGTTAAGATATTTCGTGCAGGATTGGGTAAGCTGGGCCTGGAACCCATGCATTTCGGGACACATTCGTTTAGAATTGGGGCCGCAACGGAGGCGGCTCGGTTAGGTCTGGGAGACGAGCGGATCAAACAGATAAGAAGATGGGAGTCCATTCGGTTCCGCTCATACGTTAGACCGGACAAGTTGGTGTAAAAGGGGACTGGGGCGTGGTTTGTTAAGGGCTCTGCTGTTCACTGTTCTATTTCTTTTAGGTCGTTTGGTATGGCTGATCGGACATTCCTACGTTTATTGGGCGCGGAGGAGGGCCGCGATGAGAAGAGACGGAGCACAACTGGGCTTCCCGGTGGAGGCGGTGGTTCTCACTTGGTTGGGTTTCCAGGGTTTCGGTTGGCAGAGCATCAGTAAGGAACTGTTCAATAGGCTGGCATGGGGGTCAGTCCCTAACGTAATTCTGGTTCATGGTGGGGGGAACGATTTAGGCTTGATCCCGCAGCGGGAACTGTTGAGGAGGATGAAGAGGGATCTGGATCGGCTACGTAAGCTGGTTCCTGGCGTGGTAGTGGTCTGGTCCGAAATGGTGCCTCGCTTTAATTGGAGACACGCCAGGGATTCGGCTGCGATAGCGCGAAGTAGGGGTAAGGTCAATAAGACCATGGCGGTTTTCGTGAGGCGGATGGGTGGCGTAGTTGTGCGTCACAAGGAGTTGGAATGTATGCTGCCCGGGTATTTTAGGATGGGGTTCATCTATCCCACGTGGGATCGGATTTACTTAATTTGGGTTTTCAGGATGGTATTGCACAGGCCCTGTTTTTGTGTGGTGGGGGTCGCTCATGTTCTTGAGGGGGTCAAGTCATGTGCTGTGGCGGAATAGGGCCTGGGTTAAAGAGGATTTAGGTGGAATAGGAAGTGGGCAGGCCAAGATCTAGGCTGGACTATGCCGGAGTGGAAAATGGTTTGTAGGTTCTAGCTCGTTGGTGGCTACGAATCTGGGGGTGTAGGGGTGTCTGGGTACACCCCTACAGTTAAACATATGGTTATGGGGCCTCTTTGGTTAAACGTTATGTATTATTGGAATGTTTTATTATGTTATTTGGTAGGGTCATTGTCGGGGGTATTGGGCAAGAAGGTCGGACATAATTAATACTTGTGACAATGACCCTAAATTGTTAAATTGTTGAATTAAAATTTTTCATAAAGCTGTGGACTTTATACTCCAACAGAAATGGTGTCACAGAGTTATTTTATTAAGGTTTTAGCACATGCCGAATAACGACTGTGCACATGTCATGAAGCCCATGGAGCAACACAGGAGGGGAGTGGGCCTTGACAGGGCCAGAGAGTTGGCAGGTGAAGTTAAGGTCAAGGGGTGTCGAAAAGTAATGTCTGGACAGGGGGGGGAGGAGAATAGGGTTTAAATAACAGCCAATTTGGTGAGCTGGCCTTTTTAATCAAAATCACACTTACTTGATACTTGTCCATCCCACCCTCCCTTTGTGTTCGGTTGTCTTGTTTGGTAGGTAGTTTCCCGTTTGGTCACAGCGGCGGGAATAGGGCCTGGGTTAAAGAGGATTTAGGTGGAATAGGAAGTGGGCAGGCCAAGGTCTAGGCTGGACTATGCCGGAGTGGAAAATGGTTTGTAGGTTCTAGCTCATTGGTCGCTACGAATCTGGGGGTGTAGGGGTGTCTGGGTACACCCCTACAGTTAAACATATGGCTATGGGGCCTCTTTGATAGGCCATGGGTTAAACGTTATTGTAACTCCGACTGAGTACCCTCCGTTGACGGATGCTCCTAGCGCTTCCTGAGGACTCCAAGCACTGCAGCAGACACCACAACCACCGCAGACTCCGCAACCGCCGTATCTTGACTGGAGTCTCGCCGTCTTCCTTCCACCCTGGATCAGCTTCTGTCCTCCAGGACTGTGTGGGAAAGAACTCTTCCTTCCACCCTGTATGAACCTCCAGCATCCAGGACTGTGTGGTGAAGACCCCTCCTCCAAGGAGAGCGTGTCAGGAACAAGCTCTTAAAAGAGCTAAGTGATTCAAGCTCAGGGGAGCATGCAGAGCATAGCAACCCCCAGTGTGATTATAACAGCTCCCTCCAATAACGAGACAAGGCTACGTTTAGAGGGATCAAGAAGAACTGTCAAAACCTTTATTTCCCCTGAGACCAGCCAATATGGTCACCACAATAACATTGTTGTGAAACCTCAATAAAATCACAAACAGACAAACCATATCAAGCAACACACAGTGAATTATCACAACACAATGGCACATTTTAAAAGGTGGAGGGAGACAATATTTAACAGTAAATATCTCACCTGCCTGCAAAATTAGCAATATGCAAATCTACCCGAATATGCAAATGAACCAGTCTTGCAATTCAGGTAGTGCATATTGCTGTTGCAACCAACAGAGAGCACTAGACAAGCTCCATAGCCAAACCCACCTAGTTGGTAGCAAACCTCAGCAATACAAGAGAGCAGGCAATACATTACACAGTACATACACACACACTATAAACAATTACATTACACACACCCTGCACCTATAATGGGTACAGGGTGACTAAAACATAAGATAAATAAAGCAGCCTACATAAATAGTCTAAAAAAAAGGATAAAAGGTGGGTGAATAAACAATATAGACTATTGGTAAACCAAGTGCAGGCAAGCCTCTGTAAATTGGATACTCCAAGTCCAATAAGAAACAGCAAATATATACAAATTAACAGGGCGCCACAATCACTAAATAGGTAAATATATAAAGGGAAGAATCAAATATTTATCCAATAGCTGAATAAAATAGTATTTTATTAATACAAAATGAATAAAATCATGGCACAACAAAGTGCTCAAACATATAATAAATAGGAACCCATAGGTATAGCAGCTCACTGGTGTATAATGCTAGATAGGCAATAAAGTGCAAATGCTAAAGTGCACAAAAATGGAAAAAGTGCAAATAATGGTGCTAAAAAAGCATCCAATTCATATCACATAAGCATAATCATAGCCTTAAACATGTCCAGAATGCAAAAATAGACAGTTAGCACATAAAAGCAGTATAGCCACTAATACCACAATTCAGGGTCCCAAAGTACTGGTTGCTCAACGCGTTTCGTCGCTAGACTTCCTCAGGAGCTTCTGTCGTCTTCCTCCATCTTCCTCTTTTTAAATCTGCCGGTTCGTCCGTCGGCCGTCGTGATCGCGCATGCGCGCCTACGTCACCGCGCACGACGTCATACGTCATGACGTATACGCGGCTAGTACGCGCATGCGCAACCACAGTGGAACGCAATAAAACTTTATTGTTCATCTACACGGTCACATTTAGAGCGATTAAATAGAAAAAAACGCTCGATTATTCTGTAGACCGGATTCACATACCCTGCCTGCCCCCTACTAACCCCTAACAGAGGAGTACTATATAAACAGAGAGGGGAAATATAAATTGGACAGGTAATCAAAAGAGGGTTAATACGAAGGAGGTATAAAAGTATATATACTACACAAAATATAATATTATAAACAACAATATGTTAGAAAAATATGTAAGAAAAATACATTAAGGAAAATATAGGGGAAAAAAAATATATATAGGGAAAAAAATCTCCATTGTGAAAAGAGAATGAGTCCATTTATATTTCCAAAATGACCGTCATGGCATACAACACAAAAGGTCTTACAATGATAAATTACCTAAATATTGATATCAATATAAATGTACATAAGTAGTATTGTAAAAGTAATATTGCATGATATCAAAGTGTGGACAACATCATAAACTAATAACCAAATAGACACAAATATAGATATAAGAGATATATCTCTATATATGAGGCAAATAGCAATATTAATAAAAGGTGAACACATATAAATCTAAACAGAGGACATTGTTCATATAGCTTGTTATAATATCAGAGTATGGAGAACATCATATAAAAATTAATAATAAATAATAATAACCAGATGAACATAGAAATAGGTATAAAAAATGTATCTATATATATATAAAGTGCATCACAATAATAAAGAAAGACAAACGTATAAATCTTGACAAAAAAGCATTATTCATATAGCTCGTGATGACACATGGTGAGTGAAGAAGGCATATAAAAAAGGTATATAAAAAAGGTATATAAAAAAGGTATATAAAATCCTAAAAAAGGGAACACAAGAAGAGGACAAAATTAAAATCATCATTAAATTAATCTATAAAGGCTAGTATATCCAAATCAGTATTCAATCCTGAGGGAACAGAAGATTTCATTTTATATATCCATTCAGTTTCTTTCATAGCTAGCCTTTTTTCCATGTCACCACCTCTCCAATGAGGTAAAATTATATCGATCCCAATACAAATAAAATTTTTAAAATCAAAATCCTTACAAGTATTACAATGTCTAGGTACACTATGTTTCTCATTTTTATTCTTGATCCCATTAAAATGTTCAAGTAATCTAGTATGTAATTTTCTAATCGTCCGTCCAATATATTGGACCCCACATTTACATTGCAACAAATATACTACAAATTTACTATGACAATTAATAAAATGTTTAATTTTAAAAGTTTCATTAGTCACCGTACTAGAAAATTCCATGGTCTTATTCTTCTGAAATTTGCATGTATTGCATCTACCACATTTAAAAAAGCCATTAGGTCTTTCTATTAGAAAATTCGTCTTCTCGATCTCAACAGTTTTTTTAGGCAAAATACTGGGGGCTAAAATATTCTTCAAATTGTTAGATCTTTTATAGATTACTCTGGGGTTCTGAGGTAAAATCTTTTTTAAGAGGAAAGATATTCTAATGAATAACAAAAAGATTAAGAAGGATGCTGGGAAACAGTCTGAATTTGCGTTTTTAACAAAATTTAGCAATAAAGCCAATCTAATAGAGAAGTCTATTAAGAAGAATTGGCCCATTTTACTGCAAGA